TCCGGATGATTCCGGATCTCCTTACTTTCCGCCGCGCCCTCAAGACATGGCTTTTTCAGCAAGCGGGCCTGACCTAGGGAGGATTTTAGGTAGGGATAATTTTAAAAGTATTTTAATCGGAAACACAGCTGGTAATATTTGGTTTTAATTCGGCTTTTATCGGGGTTTATTTTTTTTGTATTTTTGTATTTTGTATTTTGTGTATATTATTTGTTTTTAATATGCTGTGAACCGCCCTGAGTCCTATGGGAGAAGGGCGGTATACAAATTAAATAATAATAAAAAAAAACAAAAAAAAAAAAAAACAGTTAATGCGATTATTTGCAAATGGAAAAAACACAAAATAATTGTCAAACTCCCTTGGTCTGAGGCTCCATGCAAAATCTCACCTTGTGGAGATTCAATGATCATGAGAATGGTGAGGAATCAACCCAGAACTACACGGGAGGATCTTGTCAATGCTCTCAAGGCAGCTGGGACCATCGTCACCAAGAAAACAACTGGTAACACACTACACCGTGAAAAAGAAAGCACATATACAGGCCCGTCTGAAGTTTGCCAATGAACAGCTGAATAATTCAGAGAACTGGGTGAAAGTGTTGTAGTCAGATGAAACCAAAATCGAGCTCTTTGGCGACAACTCAACTCGCCATGTTAGGAGGAGGAAGAATGCTGCCTAAGACCCCAAGAACACCATCCCCATCATCAAACATGGAGGTGGAAACATTATGCTTTGGGGGTGTTTTTCCTGCTAAGGAGACAGGACAACTTCATCGCAGGGGTCAAATACTTATTTCACTCATTAAAATGTAAACCAATTTATAACTTTTCTGAAATGCATTTTTCTGGGGGGTTTTGTTGTTATTCTGCCTCTCACTGTTAAAATAAATCTACCATTACAATTATAGAGTGATCATTTCTTTGTCAATGGGCAAACATACAAAATCAGCAGGGGATCAAATAATGTTTTCCCTCACTGTATTTTTAACCTCTGGAGAAAGCATGGCCTGGACAACGGCTGCTGAAAGTCAATTTGCTGACCACCTTCTGTGACCTTCCATATCCTGTTTCTCTTCATTATTTAGATGTTAAATGGATGCTATAAGTGGTTCAACTAGATGGTGAGGCAAAGAATGAAAAGCCACTTGAAGCAAACTCTAAACCAACTGACATTGTGTTGTCAGAGGATGAAGAGAATGGCTCATTGGATAGCACATCCAAGCCTAAAAGTTCCCTCTCAAAGGACCCAATCATTGAGGTACTTCCATATTGGAAAGAGGCTTTAAAGTCACACTTACTTGTAATAACATGTTCTTTTTGTAAGACTTCTGTGTTTTGTTTCTTAGTTTTGGATAGTGGCAGACAATTCTCTCTACAGCTACAATGTCTTTCTTTGGTTATGAAAGTAGCATGTCCTCATAGTTAAATAGGAAAGAGAAAGGATTAGAAAATAGGTATATATATATGTATATATTATTTATGAAACCTGTATGATTAGAAAACCATCATTTTAAGCCAGAACATGCTGCTTAATATTTAATCTAGTCCACTGAATCATCAGAATTATTAATAGTTTAAAATTAAAATGAGCAATGCTACTATTCAGACATTATGAAAGTACTACACTCATCAGCTTATTTTCCTACATGCCATATTTTTAACTCTGACAACCAAATCTTTTTCAATACCTTAAACTGCAGAGTACAGTGTTAGAATAAAATATGTTAAACATTAGAAAGCAGTGATGGCTAATTTTTTTCCTCTTCGGTGTAATCAGCTTGACATAATGAGCGAAACATAACAGGCTTCTGAGTTTCAGAAGAATATGGTTATGGAGATAGAAGATTCTGTGGTGGAGTTGTGGAAATCTAAAAGATATGTTCCACAGTTTTGACTGTACCAGAACCATAGCAACAGGCATATTCATTATGTGACTTACAATTGACTGTATCCTCTAGCAGAGCAGATGGAAGAATGTTGATTCAGGTTGTAAAGAACATTCGGGCAGAGGCAAAGTCCAGTTTGGTACTAATTCTTCTTCAGGCCGCCCTCTTCAGGGTGACCCGCTCTCTCCTCCAACTGAGGGAGGGAGGGGATCCCCTGGAGGGGAGGGCCGAGGACTTTGCGCAATATCTGCATGACAAAGTCGCTCGGATCCGAGAAGGCCTTGACTCTGACTGGGTGGCCCCGGGGGAGGAGACGGGAGCAGGTCTTGAGACTGTTGTATGGGAGGAGTTTGAC